ATATATATATATATATATTTGTATGTTTATATATATGTATATGTATAAGTTTCTATATTCACTTTTTTCCGTTGCCTTGTTCTCATTGGAACGCTTCAACGGGTTTTAACGCGGTGGCGTTATCGCGGTCTCAAACAGAATACTTCGTTTCAGGGAGCAACGTCACTGGGGTGGCGCGCATGTTGAAACGTTCTTATGTTTCCACCTTTTGATGCACCTTTTACGTTTATTATTTCGTTTTCATGAATCCGTGTAGTTTAATGGAAATTGATTCTGGATTCGGTTGACTAACAAGTTACAGAGGCTCGACTCCAACAGCCCTTTGTTAGCATGAAAGTATTGTGTTCAAAGCTCCGAAAACTATTTCGGCTGAATGCCGTAGGTGTCGGCATGCAGTTTTCTGCTGGTTTTAAAAAATGAGGTTATCTCTTTTGAGGAAGATTTCACTTGTGCTTAGATTCACGTTTTTCATACTTTATACACTGGAAGCATGTCTTTTCTCTGACTTCGTAATTGCTACCTCGCGGACGTTTAGAAAAGCATGAAGTTGTAAGTGTCCATAATTCCGAAGATTGAGGCTGCCAGTTTGAACCTTGACAATTAGTAGGATAGACTAGTCTACTGTTTTGCTTTCCGTGGTTCATCTGCTCGCTTTGTGCTACAATATGCGATTGTTTGTGAGTGCGTCTTGCGAGGTTATAGCACGTTTTAATGATTTGCATTAAACATCTTTTCGACTTTGAAATGCCTATACTATAACTATTCCATTGATCACATAAAGTCTCATGGTTCGTCACAGCGTATGCTACACCATCCACCACCAGAAACCTATGTTTGAAGATCTATCCCAGGCGGTCCACATTTTAATGGTTCCCATTGCCGCCTCTTCTACATCTCTACGTCACTTTATTCAGTTATTCTATGGTTTTACTTTGTCTTATCTAGTCGTCAATGAACAGTAAAAAGACTTGTTTTCGTTGGAAATTTGCTTATTCTTTCACTTTAACTTACCTGTGTTTTGCAGCATTTTGATGTTAGAAGTACAAAACTAGTGAGCAAGGATTCGTCCTCAAGATCCGCGCGAAAGCATTTCATTTTCAAGAAGGGATTTTTGCCCACAAGGAGCGCATTGTATTGTATGGACATCAGCATCACCAGTGATGAATGAATGTATAACGAACGTTGAACCTGTTCAGCTCACTCACAGATACAGGGTACTTCCTGGTTGTATGTACTGATCTTGCCTTTTTCTCATAACTTGTTTCTAGGTTGACAATTTTCCATCGTTGGTGAACCTTTCTCCACTTAATTTATGCTTTCGAAGCACAACTTTCAGGTTAGTTCACACATTGTTTACTATAGTGGAGATATTTGTTTCATGTGATGTCTTCGTGTGCTTTTTGCTATCAGTGCTCCTCGGACGTCTGAGGTCTCGTGGCAAATATGCCTTTATCCTGGAGGCAAGCACCGCGAGTACGCAAATAATGTATCGTTGTTCTTAAAGATGTTCTCTGCATCTCCTTTTGAAGAGGTATTATCGTGTCCATTTTTAAAACGTCGAGTTTAGATGCGTGATTCCAGATTTTTTAGGTAATCGTCAAAGCCAAGTACCGCTTCTGTTTCCTGGATGATGATGATGAAATTAGGTTTACTATTACTGGCGCGAATTATTTCCATGCGAAGCCACCAACGGGAAGTCATTCGTGGGGTTTGCGAAATATCTCGACAAAGGAGGTTTGCCGGCGTTTACTACTACTCTTCTCTTTGGCATCATTTTGCTGTCTTCTTTACCACAGTACTTTTTGCTCATGAAGAAAGGTAGAAATGTTCGATATGGCCGAAGAAAGTAGGCCAGTATTCTTAGAATACTCTTGAATTTTTCACTTATCCGTGGTCATTCATTCAGATTCAAAACCATGCCAGAGCGGACCAGTCTTTGGTTATACTATGTACACTTGAATACTTATCAGACGCTGGCCTCACACTGTATGGCCAAACGCAGCTAACTGATATTGCAATATCGGAAACGGCACAAACATCTCGACTTCATATGGAAAACGGTAGGCTCTACGTTATTCGTTTATATTACGGAATAAGCCCACTTTGTCAAAATTCGCGAAGTGTTTACCATGTATTCTAACAGCGGTGCTAAGTTATTTGGAAATAAAAGATGAAGTACAACCACAACGTTGCTGAGATATTTGCAAAACTCTGGACCGCAAGTGTCTATGGTGGGGAACGAACGCGCTATTGTCCATTCCGGGGAATAACGCGTTCACCACCACACCATGCGGGTCCTTTGTTTCGCCTGTCTCTCAGCTATTTCTATCGATCTTTACCACAGCAATCACCCGTCAGCGGGAATGATCTGGGGCGCCCAAATCGACATACAACCCAATAGCTGAGAGACAAGCGAAACAAAGGACCCGCATGGTGTGGTGGTGAACGCGTTACTCCCCGGAAAGGACAATAGCGCTTTCGTTCCCCACCATAGACACTTGCGGTCCAGAGTTTTGCAAATATCTCACCAACGTTGTGGTTGTATTTCGCTTAGTACCCTGCCGCGAAATTATAGTAGGCAGAAAATAAAAAGGTATAACAAAAGATGAAGTGTTTAAAAGTAGTGAAGTGGCTTTTCTTCACATAACACGACGGTCCAGCACTTTTCCGCCCATTATCGTGCTATTTCATTACTATATAGACTCTAATGTGACAGTTACAGAGCTTGCAATGTTTACGGAAATAGGGAACTCTCCGTATTCCGATGTAGATATTGTTGCTGGATTCGGTGAGAATCGAATGGCGTTTGCTGTCCACAAATACAAGCTTGCCACACATTCAAATGTTTTCCGTGATATACTCGAAAATGCTGTGGATAAAACCCAGGTATGTCATTTCGTTGGGTTTCGTATTAGATAGGCGCTAATTTCTGGCATAGCTTTGAGATTCAGTAGTGCTGAACGCGCTGTTCAATCGTATGATTCGCTTTTGGCACATCGGACAGAAACAGACGACTGGTAACATCGATGTAGAGCTACTTATAATTGACCGTTTGTAAACAGTTCATTTCTATAGTAGGTTCATAACTGAAGAAGATTGCCTATTCAAATTTCGAAAGGTTTAGCTACCTGTTTTCTTGGCAAGCAAACACAAAGTCGTTACTTTACTCTTTATTTATCCACGGAAGGTGACCCTTGGGCGGATTTTGCCTTTTTTAGAACATTGCATAGGTTAGGTCTCGTGTGAGAATGAGGGCTTCCACCGTTGTTTATTTTTAGATTCTTAGAAGTTATCCAGAGTGCTTCGAGGGTTTCACGCGCTGAAGTGTTAGATTAATGTGCGAGGATTTTGTGGTCTACTTCGAAATATTCCCCGCTGTATGTCTGTGTCCCATGTACACCTAGTTAAGAATTTTCTCTAACTTTACGCTCACCGTCTCGATGTACATTCACTTGGACACGGAGTGGTCGTCTACCTATCTTCCCGGTATATTCATCCCGCACGCTTTAAAGGAGATCAGCTACGCTGCACGTGAGCCCATGTTACCACCATTCCTACCGTGAGCGCAAATTCCGCCGCAAGCACAGGCGGTTATGCTAACGGTTGTGAACTAAGTGGCTTCCTAGAGTGTTCAATTAGCCAGCGTTTGTGTTCACTGGGTGTGCTGTGGCTCTTAAACTATAGGTTTTCTTTTGTTGAATTGTCGATAGTGAAGCCTGAACTTTTAGAGGATTATGATAGTAATTGACGAATTCTCGCCAGCTGCGGTGAGGAGTATGCTAGTTTTTATTTATTCGGGCTCAATTTCTCTGCAGAATATGGACTTGAAGGTATTTTTGGCAACATGTTCATAGGCTCCTTTTGGATTTTCTCTTCACTATATCTATGTAGCAAATTTTAGGAGGCTTCTGACGTTATGAAGTTGGCGCAGAAGTACAATATTCCCGCTCTTACGACGATGTGTGAAAGAGACCTTATTCCGAGGTATGTGAAGCCAGCTTGTGTTGTTCTAATGTCCTTTTATTGCTTTCAACAAAGTGGGAGTGAGGAGAAAGTGCGTTGATTTGACAAAAATTTCTTCTGTTCGCTTTTCTTGTGATAGTTGCCTTTTTAGAGTTTGGTCTGGAAATGTTATCGACTGTTTTGAGTTAGCCGATTTCCACCAAGCGAGTTATTTATACGAGCACTGCCTTGATTTTGTGAGTACCCAATATTGTTCTTTACCACTTGCTTTGAATCCAACACTCCATTATTTTTTACATTTGATAAGATGGCAATGTTTACTTAAAGCAGCATTCGCTGAGATAAATTAGACATGTCAGGTGAGCCATTTTATCTTGAAGTATCCTTTATAGCATATGGCTTTAGAGGTTCCTTATATACTTTCAAGGGTAAACATCATACAGCGGGGTTTTAATCCCTTCTTCCAATTTTTTGTATAAAAAAGCTTTATAGCAATTATAAACCGCGTGGTTATTTAAAGTCAAAACGACAACTTAGTTCTCACCATCACTGTAGCATTTAGTTTTAAGTCATTTCAGATGAAAGCAAATAGATATGTTATGTTAAATACGGAAGCTTGGTCGGCATTAAAAGGTAGAAATCCACGACTCACCAGTGCAATACTAGAACGTGTTATTCGTTCAGATCGGAGTGTCCGCTTGTGAAGAGATGTCGAATGTAGAAATCAAAATTAGGTGTGTAATGTTGTGTGTGTGTATTTATATTTATTGCAGTTTCAGAGTTGGTTTTTGCTCGGCATGACCCTATCAAATTTTAGGAAAATCCTTAGTATGTTGATCAATGTATGTTTCTCTTATGGTTCCCGTGAATAAATGGTTTCTCATCATTTACCCTGCTTAATTCTCAGATATCAGGTTGATGGTGGGTGGGTCAACTAGAGCAGTAGTTGGAGATAGTCCACAATACATTTGTGGTCTTTAAATGCAACCACCTCTGCTGCGTGTGAAACTTGGTAGCAGCCTTAATTGAAGGACTGACGCGCTGACTTTATGCATCGGGTGGCGAACTAAGTCACTGCATAGGTTAAATATGCACTCCAACACGTCTAAAGTTTCCTGATGAAGTCGTATGCACAGTGCATCCCTCAGAGATTAATCAGTGCTGGATGATTTATCCTCTTTCACGCTGTTCAGAGCTTCCTCAAGGTATTGTTGTGCGCTGCTGAGTTGTCGAACTTTTTTTGATATTCTATTTAGAGAGAGGGGATACAGTACCTGATTTTGCAGATGTTTCTGGTTTCTTTTTACATGACTCGCTTTAAAAACTACCGTGCGGACCCTAAAATCTCCTGCATTCGATTCGTTTCCTAGTATCCCGTATACGTGGAACTCCTGCAACTTTTCGAGTGTGCTTCCGTCGGTCCAGTGGACTGTCCCTGAGTTAACCGTGCTGTGCCCACTTGGTTTGCTTGAAGCGAACTATCCTCAGACAAGTGTGGTAGCAACTTCCCGTCATCGGTGTCAAGAGAGGAGTGTTAAGCCTTGGGCGAAGTTGAACAAGAACCGTGATCATAAGGAACGGTATCACATCCCCCTCACTACCCATCCCCGTTTACCGTTTTAATTTAAGTCATTTTCCTTCATATTTATAATTTTTGTTTTACTACGTCGGTACGCCGTATTCTTTTACATCAACTGCCATTATTGAATTCCTAGCTTTGTGTCAACTTTTGCGAAGGACTGCTTTATCCTATGCATCTTCTATACCTTTACGATTGTGGAACTACACCTGTCACCTCAACACCTCCCGTTGATGGTCGAGTGATTCTAGTGGACGTCAGTAAATCTTCCATATTTGTTGTTGCGTGACAAAGTAGCGCAGTGAATTTTGCTCGCTTTCGCAAATTTTTGAGCATCATACTTTTCTTCTAGGATTGTTGTGACAAACTTTGACCGTCGCGTTGACGGCCTTCCTGCAGTATGTTTCATATCTCGAGGAATCCATTCACTAGCAGCTCTGTCCACCGGCTGTCGCTTATGTGACTTGTCCATCTTATCTTCGACAGTTTGGCGTAAAAAACGACATCCTCGATTTTGATCGTTGGGACAGGTTAGAGCTTCGGATCCCTTTTCTCAATAGTGTGACACGGGCTACTCCTAGAATCGCCGTTTCGATTGCGCCTTCAATAACGCTGAATGACCGTTCACCCTGCTTGCGCAGTGACCAAATTTTTGACGCATACGTTAAGGCAGGAAGAATTATGAAGTCGACAAGGTGGGCACGGAGTCAAGGGTTCGTTGTTCTCATCACGACATCCTCGATGCTCTTGAAGGTTTTCCAAGCGGTTGTTTCGTCTTACTCAACTTTTGGACTAGATCGTTCATAATGTCGATTTCCCAACGTAGATAGACGTAAATGGAGTATTCGGGAAAATTTATTCCGCTGAGCGTAAATGGAACATACGTAACCAATCTGGTTCTTCATGAACATAGTTTTTGTGAGATATAATCGAAAACCAATCATTCTACAACCCTGATCAAAGTCGCCAAGCGGTCACTTCGCTTGGCTAATGTTTGATGTCACATGAACGATGTCGTCAGCAAAGCGAAGATGGTGTAATTGTCAACCTTCGATTTTGACTCCTATGTTACCTCTCTTCTCACCCCTCACACACCGAAAGGGCGCTTAGGAGAAATGTGTTTCGAACAGTCCCCAGCGTGTGCACGGGTTTGAGAGCAGGAGGAAGAATCGCGGAAATAGACGTGGCAAAAAGCCACTTCGAGTTCCAACGAAAGCTCCTTGAGAAAGGCAAAGAGGAAAAAGCGCGTTCCAAACGATAATTCTAGCGAAAACAAAGCTCAGTTCATCTTGTTCTTTATTTGAAACGAAATACGTGCGGTTATAAAACGTTGCTTAAGAAAGACCAGCCTACAGAATTCGTAAAAGCGATAGAAATGCCACCGCACTCTCTAAGACGCCAGCTAGTTCTTAACTGCATATATGACGTCCTGTGTACAACGAAAAACTGCGTATCATTCCCTAACGGTAGAGACGGTGAATGCGTAAGTTCATATGCGGTGTGTCTAATCTCCTGTAGGGCGTGAACGAACACGTTTGCGAAACGGGTAAACTGCCTTGCGTCCGCTTAAAAGATCATCTAGTGGGTAAAGTCAAATTGAAACTAAAGGCAATGTTAACTTTTTATTTACTGCCTATTACATTTTTTCATGCAGGGTATTACGTGTGACTCAATCACAATGATGCTGAGATATTTATAGACACCTATGATACGGAGTTTTACAAATATCTCAGCATCATTGTGGTTGAAACCAAACACTCCACTAGGAGCCCATAGGACACAGAAACATAACGGAGAAGATTTTAAAGCAGAAGTCACTATCCTCGACAGGAATTCAAAACATCAGCGCGTAAAGCTCTTGATGCGTTTTAGATTAATTTCAAAATATCAAAAGTCAACCCCACGAGGAGTTTCCTGCTACCAAGTGTAACCTCGCGCTAAACCTCAGGCTGATTGTATGACCTGCCCCTGCACGTTCGTCGCCCATATATTATTCTTCTGCGCTGCCCCTCTCCAACAATTAGCTGGAATACTTACACAGAATAACACTGTGGGCGTTTTAAAAAATAAAAAACTAGTGGCTTATTAGGCGAGCGCAGATTTATGTGTTAAGTCTTATTTGCTAAGGTTATGAAAGTGCTTGGCTGAGTAGAACACTTGTCGATTTAACCTTTCCAGTCTCTGAAGAAGGCGAAACCACCGAAACGTCGGCCACTTAGTATTAGGTCCTTCGGAAATAAATGAAAATTTTAAGATATTTGTTGTTTAATTTGTTTTTTTGCTAATAAAATACTTTTTGTGTTTTGCAGTATTATTTATCATTGGAAACTAATTTTGTGTTCTTCTCTAAATACGCGTACATATTACGAATTTTCGTCAAATTTCCTTTTATGAGTCCAAACTTGTTCGTAGTGCAGGAGTGTCGGCTCGAAACATCAAGACTTTTGGGATGATGGCAGTGTTGGTACACTAACAATGCGAACATGGTACCGGAAATTCCGATCTTGTGATTTCGAACTCGAATATAAAGAAGGCCGCGGACGTCCCAAGGATTTTGACGATGACGAATTGAAGGCATTAGTGGAAGCAGTTTGGCATAAGCAAAGAAATAAAGAAAAAATAAAAACCACTCATCAAATATGCAGCTGATAAATTCCAATTCCAAAAAGGACGCGTGTGGCGAGTGGTTGGAGGCGCCACTGCGACACACACATGGAGTGGATTCCAGTGCCCATGGCTCACTAAGCCTTCCATCCCTCCGGGGTCGGTAGATTGGTACCAGACTTGCCTGGGAGGATAACAGCACTGGTTCGATACATAGGTAGGCCACCGCGAGTCAGTAAAGGCCGGATATGCATTCAATTTCCTCTAACGATATTTAATGAAGTCGAGTGCATGGCGCATCCCTCAGAGATTGATCAACGCCGAAAACTTTAGAGAGCTTAAGTTCCAAATAAATTCTGCAACAGTCCTCAATAAAAGAATGGGAAGTACCCTCAGAAGGAATATACGTTTTCAGAAATTTATGGCTAATTGATCAAAAAAGTAGTGGCACCTATCATCTTTTGATATCCATAACATGCGTTCTCTATGAGAATTCAGTTTTGGGAGATGAGAGGGTAGAAGCGAGCCTTGAAAGATGTGAAAACGCGTGATCGGCGTGAAGATCACCTATGTCTTTACAAGCGAGGTACAACCCTTACTGGACAACTCTATAGCCCTGTGCTTCGCTACGGGGTCCGACGATTGCCCTAAATGTTGGGATTGCAGTCTTCTCAACGACACCGTCAGGTTTTCGATGAGCGGTAGGTCAATGGTGATGCTAAAATAGACCAATAGAGCATAGAACGTAGAGGCTTGAAAAGCAAGAAAATTTTATTTCATACAAAAACAAACTGCAGTGGAAAATAAATCGTTGTTCTCCCATAACGAAGATTGTATCTTAGGCGACGCGGAATCGAATGGGACAACATGAACTCAGATTCGATGGCTGACAATTATTAAGTGGCTCAGAAACACATGAGCGTTTTAAAACATTTATTGTATTCTTTACCAAAAAAAATTTTTTCTTACCTTGCAATACCCTATATATATTGGTAAAAGCCTGATTTTGTAACTGCCACGACCGACTTTCTATTAACCTCGGCATTGATCAAGTGATTTTCTTCCTATTTTTGTTGAGCAAACACGAGGTGTTATTATTCTTTGTTCACGATTAAGCTGACGTTTCGGCGGATTTCGCCTTCTTCAGAGCCTGGAAAGGTCAAGTTGATAGCAACCTTTGTTCACGATTAAGCTGACGTTTCGGCGGATTTCGCCTTCTTCAGAGCCTGGAAAGGTCAAGTTGACAGCAATCCACTCGGCCAGACGCCTCCATAACCAAACAAAGAAACTCCAAACCAAGATTTAAATCACTTTGAACACAGCTTTGCACACTCACCGCTTTCTGTGAGGTTTCCACTAAGTATGTCACGTAGAGACCAGCCGCACAGAAATCACATGGAAGTATAACGTGCCCCTCACATCAGAAAAGCAGTTTTATATACTGCCCTATATCACGCGTCATAATGAGGCATTCTTCCCTGCGGTTCATTTTAGGATTTCTGGAATTAATCCAGAGTGCCTCGAGAGTATTTCGCGCCTGTGTTAAAAAATCGCCTGTTAAAAAAATTAATACGAACAAAATCACCTGGTTTTGTACTTTTTCTAATCGTTTTAGTCTTTTGTCAAAAGTTAATTTTTTTTTATCCAATTTTGAGCTTCGCAATTTTAGTTGCCAAAAACGAATTTTCGTCACGTTTTCTTCCGTGAGTTCAAACTCGGTCGTAGTGCAGCAGAGACATCTCGAAACATCGGTTAAGTTTGGGGTAAATGCAGTGATGGTGAATCAACAGTGTTCCAGAAACTCCGATCTACTGATTTCGACTTGGGAGATGAGGAAGGCCGCCGACGTCCCAGTGAACTTGACAACGACGAAATGAAGGCACCATTGGTAGCAAACACACGAACGACTGTGCGGAGAGCTCCAACAAAAACAATTGGTATTAGTAAACAGAAAAGAGCCAGTCTATCTCCATAACAACGCTTGACCTCACATTGTGGAACCAGCTCTGCAGAAGTTGAACGAGTTGTGCTACAAATCTTTGCCTGGTCAGCCATATTCATCGGACCTCTCGCCTATCGATTACTACTTTTTCAAGCACCTTGAAAAGTTCCTGCGCGATAAATGCTTCACCGACCACGATAACGCAAAAAATGCCGAAAACTAAACCACGAATGGGCCAAAATGGCAAGGGCTGCTGGTTTGAAACCATCAGTTATCTCTCAACTTAAAGTTGCCTTACCAACATGCCCCGTCTTGTACTTACTTATAAAAACTCATAAGTTAGTATCCAGCGATGATCTTGCGTCTACCGATCCATCACTATTTAAGGTTAGACCTATCATTAGCTGTGTAGACGGGCCAACGGACAGGATAACATGGTTTTTAACCCTAATATTTAACCAGTTGTTGAAACACATTTCAGCCTTTCTTACGAATACCCAGATGTTTCTGGATCGTCTACGTACTGCGCAGCCCAACAGCGCCTGCGTGATGGAGTCCTTCGACGTTACCGCCCTTTATACAAAAGTGTCGAATGACTCTGCAATGCAGGCCATATTCCAACTCCTTACACAACACGAAGGAGAAATAAACATGTATGGCTTCAGGATAGAGCACCTGATGGCACTCTTAAAAGAATGCTTGAGCTGCTCAATCTTCAGATGGTCTGGAAAGTACTACGCTCAAATAAGAGGGTTGGCAATGGGACAACGACTGGCTCCAAGCCTTGCCATTGCATTTATGTCTAAGGTGGAAGCACCGGTGACTGATCTCGGGCCACTACTCTACTGTAGGTATGTGGACGACTGCTTTGTCCTTTGCTCAACACAAGAGGAAATGGACAAATGCTTCGAATTGTTAAACGCACAGTCAGAGTATATCAAGTTCACCCGAGAAAAGCCGAAAGAAAAATGGCTTCCAATTTTGAACGTACAAATTCACCTATCAGAAAATGGCTACGTTACAAAGTGGTACCGAAAGCCAAGTAGTAAAAACATTTTGGTTCATTACCTCTCCTCTCACCCCTCTCACACGAAAAGGGCGCTNAACTCCTTACACAACACGAAGGAGAAATAAACATGTATGGCTTCAGGATAGAGCACCTGATGGCACTCTTAAAAGAATGCTTGAGCTGCTCAATCTTCAGATGGTCTGGAAAGTACTACGCTCAAATAAGAGGGTTGGCAATGGGACAACGACTGGCTCCAAGCCTTGCCATTGCATTTATGTCTAAGGTGGAAGCACCGGTGACTGA